ATAGGAACACAGTGGGTCACACACGGATCAAAGTAACAAATGACGTATGTAAACTATATGACTAGACTAGATGACGCATGTTATGTTCAACAAGTCCATAATAAATGACGACTGCTGATAAAACACAATATCTTTGTTGATAAGTGTTGCATCATTCTTGGGCGTGGACCAAATGTAACCACTGCGGGATGCCAAAATGCTCTTGCAGCTCATGAAGCAATTGTAGTTTTGTGATCAGCCGTTTCCAGTTCCCAGTAGCTCACTGAGCTCCACATTGTTGGGTGTCTGTCTAAAACACTCCCACACCTTAGATAATTGTGAGGTTTTTTTTAGCAGCAGCTTATTCTCCAGGGGAATCCATTCTTTGACTGGGCGCAGCCATCTTTGCACCGTTGTTGCAATCAACAATGTCGATGAGTTGCCCCTCCATAGCCACCGACTACCATTAGTGTTCATCTATTTATGAATTTCGAGAGCTGCTCATCTACAGGACTTGGCTTCCTTGGACCCCCAGTAACACGCCTGCCAAGACTGAAGCAGATCAGATGGAGTATTGTTGAGAAAAGCAACAAAAAAAAACAAACACAATTTATTGGAGAGATGGACGCACATTATCATATCGAGTTGGCCTTTACCGACTTTTCAAATATGCTATGTGTTTTGGACAAGTGTGCATTTGGAAAACAATCTGATCGACACGGTTCCAAATTTGCAGATGCATACGTTGGAGCACATACAGCTCCATCGCATGCCTTGGCACCGGCTGAAGGTGAACCGTGTGAAAGCGGCCTAATTCTCTTTTGTAAAGGTTAATTGGTCAGCATCTGGCACCACTTAGCTATTGGATCTATCTGTTGGTGTCAAAGAGGACGCTGATGGCCAGTTTGTTTCACCAGCTCTGTGTCGACTATTAACTGGGATTCACTCATTTATTAATATAATACAGTTTGTATAGAAAAAGCAGAAGGGCCATCGCACCCTATTCCCACACATGAAAATATTTAGGACCTTGTTCTCGATCCGTATCGTCGCCGCTGATCTCGCCGCATTAGTTAGCTGCTTTACAGACCACTCCAGCTGGTCCGAGAGTGAAAATAGCAATGTGCCCATTTCGTCCATTTGGCTGGTTTAAACCCCCAAGATGGACATTGGTGTTTGCGACCAAGATGTCAGCAGTTGTTGGACAGAGAGCCATTCGGGGGCCCAGACGCCGCAGACCTAAGCCTCTCTGTTCACCGCGGCCGACGTTCAACATATGGAACCGCTAACGAACAGCTAGTGTGATGGATGACACCTGTCAGCGAGGAGGAGGGGGGGGAAGGAAAGTAGATAGACTTTTTTTGTTTTGTGTGTGTTTTTCTTGGGCGCTCGGATGCTTATGAATGACCACGATGCAGCGCCGGTGCTTCGTTAACGCGCAGTGGGGAAAAAAAACATGCATCCGCTGCTGGAAGATGTAAAAAAAAAATTGGACGCGTGTTGATAGAAAAAGGCAACCCCTGTGACTCAGCCGGAATGAAGTGATTTATGAATGTTTTCTACTTTACTTTTCTCTTCATCGTAGGTATTATTCCATTATTCTAAATAGTGAGAAGCTGAGAGAGGGGCGCCGCGGGTCACGCAAATAAACTAAAATGTGATATTTAGGGTTTAATTATAAAAAATTGCAACATCAGCGTCGCATTACTCAGTCGTCTGAGTTCAAAAATGTTAAAAAAACAAACATATTGTACGTGATAATGCTCTCAGCGACGTCCTTTTTGATTTACTCATCTAGTAATAATGCAGCTACTAAAATCATACCTTCAGTATGTGTATCAATACTAATGATGTCATCAACTTACTGTACAGGATGTAAATGAACCATATGTCCAGATCATTAGTGCACACAGTCAAACTTGAGCTCATCATTCTCATGCTGTGTGTTTAATATGCTCAGTTAAAGGGTCACTTGTTAAGGCCGGCAGTGCCGAGAGAATGCGTAAGCAAACAGAATTATCTCTAATGATAAGTTATATATGGACAGAGTGCACACAGGAGCTCAAGTTAAACGCTCTGGTGTGGAAAAATGGTGCAATAAGGAAGTGTAAACAGAGCTGAAGG